AACACATAATCTTTTTTGGTTTGTATCCACAAGATTACAAACACTATCATAACATAATTTTATTCAAACTAAAATATCAAACATATTTATATACAACATATCCCGGGGTAGCGGGAAATCTCCTAGTTTTCATTAAAGATATTATGCATAAATTTATGGATAGTTTACTAGAATGACCTTGTCAAGCAAAGATTTGGATTAGAAAGACCTCTATCTTTGAATATTATTAGAATGACCTTGAAATTTTTTTAATTCATATGTTAACCTTATTTCATTTGAAGACAAAAAATGTATTTACGAAACTGCCATTAATGAAGCCGAAATTTTTTCCTGCCAAAATTAAATAAGTCTACCATTCTGTTACGGTAGACTTATTAAACGTCTGGTAGACTTATTACGGCGTACGCGATGGTAGACTTATTTATAGTTGTGGTAGATTTATAATATGTGGTAGACTTATTCGTAATACTGGTAAACTTAATTTTGGGATCGGTAGACTTATTTGTAGTAGTGGTAGATTTATAAAGTGGTTGGTAAACTTATTATGGTGCAGGCAGTGGTAGACTTGTTTATAGTATTGATAGATTTATTGTAAGTAGTGGTATACTTATTGTAAGTTGTGGTAGACTTATTGAGTAGTTACGGTAGACTTATGCGTTATAGTGGTAGACTTATTTATAGTTGTGGTAGATTTATTTTTGAGTGGTAGACTTATTAGTGGTTGTGGTAGATTTATTGTTGTGATTGGTAGATTTATTGATGGTTCGTGCGATGGTAGACTTATTTATAGTTATGGTAGATTTATTTGTGAGTGATAAACTTATTAGTAGTAGTGGTAGACTTATTAATGGTTTGCGCGATGGTAGACTTGTTTATAGTAGTGATAGATTTATAAGATGTGGTAGACTTATTTGTAGTATTGGTAGACTTAATTTTATAATAGGTAGACTTATTTGTAGTGATGGTAGATTTAATTTTTTGATTGATAGACTTATTGATGTTTAGCGATGGTAGACTTATTTATAGTAGTGGTAGATTTATAATATGTGGTAGACTTATTTGTAGTAGTGGTAGACTTATTATATTTATTTATAGTAGTGGTAGATTTATTCAATGAAGGACAAAATCGTAATTTACCCATCATCTTCTCCAACACACCCAAGCTTATGTCAAACCCTAACAATGGCGGCCAACTCATTTTTAGCTCGTTTTTGCTGTGTTTTAATTTGTTTTCAACTGGGTTTAGCCTAAAACTAGTAGATCTAACATCATATAGCCATTTTCTAACAAAAAATCAAAAGATTTTGAAGTTTTTTTTTCAACTTTTGATTTTTAGTTCAACTTTTGATTTTTTTCAACTTTTGATTTTTACCTAAATCTCGGTGCTTCTGCAGCCTCCCCACCTTCGCCGAGCATGATCCGGTGCTTCCGCAGCTTCCGCGACGGTGGTTTCAAACAAATGTTTTATTTATTAGTTTAAAGAATTTCCAACGTATACATGTGGTGGTAGACTTATTGGGTAATTATGATAGATTTATAAAAAAAAAAATTTTAGGTTTCAGGATGACAGTTGCGTAAATAAAATAGATTATTAAAGTTTATTTGTCTTTTATCGAGTTGTGTCAAGTTACTAGATTTGACAAAATCATTCTAGTAATTACCCTACTTTCCAAAGTCATTCTAGTAATTAACTCTAAATTTATAAGGCCATCTTTATCCATGAACTTTTGAGGGTATCATTAAATATAAAATTATTAAAAACACTCTCTCTTCATTTTACTTAACTTTATACCTTCTTTTTCATCATTTTACTCAACGTTTATTAATTTTATACTCTTTTTAAATATAAAATTATTAAAAACACACTCTTTCTCTCTGCAAAAGTATCAACTATTTGATACTTTTGATACTCTCTCTCCAAAAATACCCACTATCTCTTCTCTTTACTCAAATTTATTAATTTTATATTTCAATACATCCCATTATTTCAACCAAAAACACTCTCTTTCTTTTTTTTACTCAAATTTTAATAATTTTATATTTAATGATATCCACTAAAATTCACCAATATTGTTCTAAGGATTTTGTAAGTTCGAATCTACAAAAATATATTTAATTTTCTACCTTAGATAAACACTTGGCGTTGAAAATAAAAAAATGGCTCCATGTTTTAAGGAACCTATCTTAACAATTTTGATGCTCAGTGAATTTCACAACGTCTTTGAAATCTTCATGCCAATCATCATCTCTATGTATATTTCATCTCCACCGAATCATTATGATTTCTCCTGCTTCTTTCGATAATGGTTTTTGGTTCGCTTCAGTGACAATTCCCAAGGCGAAATCGAATTCTCAGTCACTTTTCCGGTACTGCACATCTTCCCATTTCTTCTATTTACGATCGATTGATTTCTGAATTAGTTGGGGGTTTTTTCAATCGATCAAAAGATCTGATTTTTCTGTTCTGCAATTTCAGTTCAAGATTGAAAAATCTTTGCTTTTTGTTGGTGAATCATTGCTTTTGTTCTGGGTTTAGTTCTGTGGATTTTTAGGGTTCTATGATCTACTTAATATTTGGGCAAATTTGATGAAAAACGAGAATTTTCTCGAGTAAAAAGATGTTCTGCGAATTAAAAAAGCAAACTTTAGATGGAAACAGAACCCTATTTGATCTGTTGTTCGTGTTCTCCTGTGTCTTGTTGTCTTAAAACAACCATGTTTAATGTTTGAGTTGATCAACTAATTGGCCTGTTGCAGATTAATCAGAAGAAAATGGATTTGATTTCTACAGTGAGAGATGCATTTGAGAGAGTTACAAAGAGACAAAAGCTGTATCACTCAGTCTCGGAAGTTGTTATTGATCGAGTTTGTGAAGTAATCTTAGAGACATTGTTTAAAATCCGATTAGCTCACGGAACGCTAGAACCCGAAGGTGTTTTTACCGAGTTTCGACTCAAGCTTGATTCTCTTTTACCAATGATCGAGCTTCAAGGGTCACAAAAGGAAATGAACACGAGTCTTAGCAAGTATGAGAAAGTTCTTGAGAAATCTTACAATCCTGATATATCTCAAGCTTGTAGAAGCATCGAATTTGATGTCCGCTTAGTGAATAAGATACTTATCGAGCATTTTTACCGACAAGGCTTGTTCGAAATTGGAGATTGTCTACTTAAGGAAGCTGGAGAAGAAGAAGAGGAAGTAACCGAGTTTCGATCTCAGTCCTTAGAAATCTACCAGATAGTTGAGTCGATGAAACTCAGAGACATTGATCCTGCAATGAGATGGATCTCTATGAACCGCGGAAAACTTGAGCATAACGGTTCAAAGCTGGAGCTGAAACTCTTGAGTTTGAAGTACTGTGATATTTTAAGAGAAGGAAACCTTTCTGATGCTTTGAAGTATGCAAGAACACATTTTCCGCAATACGGTTCCCTCCACATTGCAGAGATAGGAAAGCTTTTTACTGCTCTGTTATGGATTGGAAAACTCGAGAAATCTCCGTATGTAGAGTTGGTTTCTCCTTCAAATTGGGACAATGTAACCAAAGAGCTAACCAAGCAATACTACAATCTCTTAGATCAGCCATCTAATTCTCCGTTGCCAGTCGTGTTATCCGCGGGTTTTGAGAGCTTACCGACACTTCTGAAGCTTGTTCATGTAATGGGATTGAAGAAACAAGAATGGCAAGTAGTGAAAGAGCTTCCTGTTCCTTTGGAGTTAGGGAATGAGTTTCAGTTCCATTCGATTTTCGTTTGTCCCGTAAGTAGAGATCAGAGTAGTCAAGAAAACCCACCGATGATGTTGCCTTGTCGTCATGTTCTTTGCAAGCAATCTATCATGAAACTCGGCAAAAACTGCGGTACTCGCAGATTCAAATGTCCATTTTGTCCTGCACAAACCTCAGCTTCAGCATGCAGAGAATTATACTTTTGAGAAAGATTTGGGACTTTTGCTTAGATTCAAAGTAGTTTCACTTGTTTTTTTTTTTTTTGGTTAGTTTCAGTTAGATGTGATCATGTGAACAATGTTCTTTCTCTATAGAAAAGAAACTCTTTTTACACTAATCTATGTTAGGTTTTTTTTTCAATTCATTTTGTTTTGTCTCTTGAAACTGAGAAGAACTGAGAATATAACAAGAGAATGATTAGGCTTTGTTTGAAACTGAGAAGATAACAAGAGAATGATTAGGCTTTGCTCGGGAATGCGTAATTAGATTTTGAGGATCTTCTTAGATTTTAATTTTATTTAGAAAGAAATATTTGAAGCGAAGATCACGTGAACTCTCTCTAATCATTAACTATGAGTGATTAATTAATTAATAGTCATAGTCATAGTTAAAAAGAAACTCCAATGTGTAACCAAAACACGCAATTAAAACACTAAACTGGTCCCCACCAAACTGCCGCAAAAGTCTACCTCTATCGAACCCATGACATTTTTGCTACCCTCACAGCCCCGTCACTGATTCTCATCACCTCAAACCAATAATTAACTGCCACGTCATAGTTAACGTCAAACCAACCCAACAGTATCCCGTCAAGTTAAAACCACCACCATGTTTCCGCCATGATAAAACAACTAATCCTAAGTCCTCTCCATTTCTCTGAAAAATGGAGAAATTCTCATACAATTCGTATCCAGATTCAGCTGAATCGTCACCTAGATCTCGCGAAATCGAGTTTGACAATCCACCGCCATGGGAGGACCAGCAGCAGCAACAAACACAGAGCAGCTACAAGGTGAAGTTCATGTGCAGCTATGGAGGCAAGATCCAGCCTCGTCCACACGATAACCAGCTCACTTACGTAAACGGAGATACCAAAATCATGTCCGTCGATCGCGGCATCAGATTTGCTACTTTAGTATCGAAGCTCTC